CTGTAGGTAACTGGGAGGCGCACTCGGCTTTTAAATATATAACACGAAATTTATCATAACATTTACATTTTAAACGCCTTAATATACATTTTTACTACTATAATATCTAAAATATTTTATTGTCATGGCAACGACATTCCATTTAAGCTTTTGCTTAAAATATTCACGTGACCTCCAGCAAGCATTTGTTCTGTCACCTGCGCTTGAGTTGCCACTGCACTTAACTCGCCGCCCTCCACTTATACAAGAAATGTAGTTTCAGGTTTTAGAGTACTTGGAAAATTGTCAAAATTACGAGATTATTTCGGAAATAAACACAGAGGAGCGTTGCCACGGAAAAATAATTCGCTTTCGATAATTCATCATCAAATCATCAATAGATCGCCATCAAATCATCAATAGATGATCATCAAATTATTAATAAATCATCAATAAATCATAATTAAGTCATCAATAAATCATAATTAAATCATCAATAAATAATCATAAAATCGTCAATAAATGATCAAATTCTGAACTAAGTCGAGGCACGTGCTCACTAGCAAGCTCATTAAAATGTATGGGTCATATTGTCCAAGCAGTAGCACACTCTCTGCACGTAGCAGTGATACGCCCTTTTACCCAGCACAAGTGGGTCAGGATGACCTACATAGTGTGAAAAGTACATCGTTACTTTGGCCAAATTCTCCTGCACTAATTTCTTTCACTGCATCACACTTGCTGTTTTCGATGGGGACTAATAAATTTCATTTTATCTCATAAGGACTTTAATTAGATATTTTTTGTGTAATATAACCCTGTGTTGCGAGTACAAACACAGAAACACTTTAGGTTCATATAATAAAACTTCAAATGGATACATACGCCGCGACTAAATGCACATGCGTTTTTGGATACCAAGCCTGAAACGTATGAACATTTATGGAAACAAACGTACTTATAAACTTTCGAGCATTAGTATTATGTACAGTTTCGATCGTTGATATTCTTTCTACCTTAGGCTGATGCAGGGAAGAAAGATTATCGTTGTTATAATGTTTCAAATATATTTAAATTTAATCGCGAATTATTATTCAGAACTTTTCCAAGATATTTAAATTATTATAAGCTTTATACCCTATAGAAGCTTCTAATTTGTCCCTCATTAGTTTCAAATCCCTTGATTATATTATAGTAGTTATCATCAAGAATTAAGTTCATCCAGTAGGCAGAACACTTATATAAACTCCCGACTGCACGCAGCCTTGAAATTCGTTCTTGCTTACGCCATTTGTATCATTAAAATTTTCCATATGTCCTTAGATGATTGGGTGAGCGCCCAGTCGAACGCCAATGTATCGCTTTATTTGGGTAACTGCTTCACATGCAATTGCACCAGATACTTGCTCTGAAGAATAAATTAACACAATATTTGAAGTTTGAAAAGTTGCAGCCAATACTATCCCAACCACTTCTTGCTCAGCCCCACTGACTCCTTACCACCAGGATTGAATGTTCTGTTACCACGACTCTTATCATAAAAGGCGTTGGGAGCAGGTGCAGTATCTGGCCGACATGGTTACTAAACTTATACGTTTGTGTTGTTCATGTTAATTTCAGTTAAATTTGTCCTCAGTGTCATAGAGGGCCAGTGTTGAGGCTTCACGATGTGCGATAGAGGGCCAGTGTTGAGGCTTCACGGTGATAACTCATTTCATCCCCTAATGCAATGATAGGTATAGTCTAGAACCAAGTTAATTCAGTAGTCAGAACGTTTTTAGACTCGCGACCGCACTCAGCCTCGATTTCGCTCTTCGTTTCGCCAATTTGTTTTGTTTATATTTACCTCCGATGCTCAGTTCATCCGATGATTCGGTGAGCACGCTATCTTAATCAGACATGCTCCTCTGTTATATTGCACGTGCTTTATATTGTCCATAACTTTCTCCATAACTATAACCAATTTTCATCTCACTATATTATGAAAATGTTCCATACATGTTTAGAAACTCGCCATTAATAAAATATAAACCCGATACTGTCTCGAATTATTTCATTCCATTGCGAATTTTTGGGGAATCTTCCAAACTGCTTTTAACTCTACTGGAGTTTATCATGGTTTCGAGAATAGAGGATTCATCTGAATATATGCTGGAACTAGAATATCAACCGGTATATAATTTCTCAATCATTCACTTTACCAGTTTTCGTACTCCATCTAGCATCGTAACATCTTCCAATAATCTGCCAATCTGTCGCTGGAAATTTCAGTAGGCACCAGGGATTAGGCTCGGAATTGCTAACTTTTCGAACGATTAATTAGAGAGTTTTTTCCGTTTGGTTTCTTTCAAAAATTTCCGGCACTCCAGCGATCCATCCCACAATTGCTGAGCACTCCGAAGATATTCGCGGAATCTCTATTTACTTAAAAACATAATTTTTGAGGGTAAATGAAAATCGAAGAGGGACCTGCGCCTCGCGCGGCGAGAGTGCATTTACTGAGGAGCTCTATTACTTATAAAACTACACAACAGCTATACAGACACGTACACAGAGCTTACACCTACAGTACTGTACACTGCTCAATGCACATCTAAACACTGTATGTACAATAACTAATATCACTCCATGTACAACGTGGAACGTACGTCATTATACAGACTCGCACGATAAGAGGCAAGTAGAATATGGGCGAATTACGAACTACAATCGTGCCTGAGAGCTCGAGTCAGTCATGTCGCATATCCGAGCAGTGGAGGTTGCTAACTGTCCTTTGCTTTTACCCAAAACCCATTCAGTGGCTTACGCATTCAGGATTCCGTGCACGGACAAAGTTCAGGAAAAATGTGCGATTTGGCGTATTTTCCGCGCAATGATCAGCCTACTTAGTGCTCATGTTATTAGAATTTATTTTTTTTAGCAGACGGATTCTTCCGAACCAAAGAGCATCTCAATGCCATGGAGTTGTCCACTACAGCTCGCTGAGTGACGAGCTCCTCTCAGGCGAAGTATCGGCTTCACGAACGGTTAGGTTGCAATCGAATTAGCGATAATATCTGCAGATTCGCTGGCTCTATAAAACCATGCATTAACGACCTAAGCCAAATCGCCGACAGAGTGTTACAAATTAGTACAAGGCATTGAAACACCAATCGCCGTAGAGACTACGATAGGAAATTCATAGCCTACACGGGAGCGGGTAGCGAGATAAACATATGGCACAGCTCGACGGCGACGCTTCAAAACTACAATATTTTTTCGATGGCGCTCTCGGGCGTAAGTGGCAGGCACCCACAAGATTATAGAAGTTAGAGAAAACGTGTGTTCATTCGGAGGGAATAATATATTGATGGTGATTTTATTGCACTCGTGTGCAACTTTTCGCGAAGAAGCTTCAATGTCAGGTGCAGTGTAGAGAAAATCTTGCTTATTTCTTGGCTGACGAGTCAGTTGACGACATGACGTCGAAGAGTGAACGTGTGCTTCCTCGTCCGTCACGCTGCTTAGTCGCGACTCCTAAGGCCGAGCAACGCGTTTACTGTTCCACAAAACGATCTGCCCGTAAAGTATCGACGGGCACTCCACGAATGCATAAGCGAGAGAAATTACGCAAGTAATGTAGTGAAGGATCGCTGGAATGAAACTAAGCGAAGGTGTCTATTACGGCAACTACATACGCATCGTCGAATGTGTCTTGTCACTCTTGTGCATTGTACGCTGTTCAACATGCGTGTCTCACTGCTATATTCACCGTCAAACGAATCTGTCTCACTGCTATATTCACCGTCAAACGAATCTGTCTCACTGCTTCATACACCGTCAAATTTACTCTTCTCTACCTCCTCATTCAGCGTCAGACGTATGTGTCTCACGCTTCGCTATGCTCGTTTCACTGGCCTATTTTACCGTCCAAACCTTAGCATTTGTTTAGGATGTAGCAGCAAGCCACGATGGATAGACTCTCATCCGCCCTCATTGGGCCACCTGATGCACGACGCTGTTGCTTGCTTCTCGCCGCTGGTAGTGTTGTAGGGGAGGTCGATCTGGGATTGTGCCTAGGAACACGTCCAGTTGTCTCTTGAAGGTCTCCAGGGTGAACTTGCTCTGAGCTTCCACACACACAACCAACACGCGCAGCTCTCTCTTAGATCCTTTATATGCAAACGGGCTCGTGTTATGCTTTTCTGTTCAAACTTTGTACTCACAGGGTCAGTGTTGTGAACGTTATGACGTATGTAGGGCATTCATGGAATATTACAGAACAATTGTCACGCACTCATCCAACGACGGCAGACTTACAGTCACGAAGCCTCTTCAATGCTGGCTAGAGCGTAAACGCTTTTGATGGCTTATCTTCACCAGCAAACAGCCAAGTGTCAGCCATCCTCAGTTCTTTTGCATGATATTAAATACAATTTGTACACAGCTTCGGTTTGTAGGGTTAGATTTTATAAAATAAAATCATAATACAACAACAAAAATAATACTTTTTTGGCGCTTCAAAAGAAGGCAACAGTTAAGAGCAGATCTCTTTAGGTTAAGTTAGAACAACAGAGCGTAGAGCGCGTTGGTGATGATGAGCTTAAGCTCTATTTCGATGCGTATACATAAGTCATTGCTGCTCATTCGCACGACACATCACGTGAATAATTGGACATACCAGCAACCATGTAACATAGAATGAAATCTTAAAGCATCTCAATAAGTAATCGCTCGGAAGAAGCTTTGCAAGCTACCTCGACCTCGTCTAGTAACAAGTTGAGGAAAGAAGCGGCTTCAAAGGAAATAAGATAAACGGTTTGGCGGTGCCAAGTTGCTATCCAATCTAACTTGCCGTCTCTGGACGACTGAATTTATGGCAAGATTCTTGCCGAGCTTCAAAAAAAAAAAAACAATGCACAAATTTAATATCAAATACACGACACTTCTCGTATAAATAATTCGATAGAAATTCATTTGTCAGTCCAACGTAAATTTTTAACCTTGGAAAACAAGACATCGATATTAGAGTGCATGCATGCACCAGAAACATCATGCAAATTCAAGAACAAACATGCCTAATTTTCCTTCAAATATTAATATCCAAATTCGTATTTCAGAACACAATCGGTCACACAAAGAAGAATTCCTCGCAAAAATTTGAGTAACAATAGAAAAAAAATTAACGCGTCATCCCAGGACAAACTTCAGCCAGGCACTAAAACAGAAGGAGAGGAACTAGATGACCGTGTCAGGAGCGCCAAGGCAGGACAGACTAACGGCTTACACACAAACTTTTTGTAGCGTGGCGTCAAAAATTATAAGTGCTTTCAAGCAGGTTTTCTTGCGTCAAACATTTGTCATTCGTCATGACACGTAACATAAAAGAATCTGATGGAAAATAAGCAAGAAGAGCTCTACCGGAATTCCTCTTGGCAGCTCGATATGAAACTACAGCAGGTCATACCATAGATTAGGAGTACCGTATAACGCAAGGAAATTAGAGATAAATTTAACAAGCATTAGTAACCAACAATTGTGAAATACAGGGAACTTTTCCTTGCGTAAAAAGAAGCCCGACGTACATAGGCATAAACTGTTATTCGAGGAACAGATTTCAAGCAAAATTATAAGACAACAAATATAAATTTTCATTTGCGTTTTACAGATAAAACAGAATTTCATAATAAATATTCTACAGGAAGTTTTCAAGGCTATGAACGGCAGATATCTTATCGCAGATTACAAGAGGCACAATTTCTGGAAATAGATTGCAGGCATCGGATTACGGATGAGAATTGTTAAAAATAAAAGACTCATTAAATCGAATTACCATAAATTTAATACACTCTAAAAATAGAGTAATTCATTTATCTGGAACATAGCTGGTCAAATCTAATAAAACGGGCATCGCGTTTGAAAAATATGAGATAACATACTATCAAAACATTCATTATATTCTCCACGAATGAAGAGAACCTTACAGCAGCGAAGCAGAATGCGATGGCATACGAGGCACAATCAGACATAAAACATTCACATTGCAACATCAAATGAGGTTCTGTCATCACTGTGGTCAACATTGAACAAGAAAGATATGACCTCACTAATGTTTGATGAACTGAGGAGCTTATGTACATACGAATGATGGACCGTAATAACTTAAGATATCTTATATTCTTTGTACATGTCATCATGTGAACAACATGGTAACAATATCATCAGTGTGTGCGGTACACCTACTTTACTTCCTTCATCAACACAATAATAATATCCTTCCATCTCTCAGGCTCAATTCAGCTTATACGGCAAGCTTCTACAATCTTTGACACAAAAATCAGCCGTGCAGCAGCTACACTTCTATTCCAGGATTATGGGAAGCAAATAGATGTCTAGATGTCAACTGACAACTTTGAGAAATTTCTAAAGGATTTTCCCCAAGAAAACTACGCATGGTTTAACAAAGCACAATTTTTTCAATTCCAGAAGTCAGATATTATAAGAGAGACTAGAGAGCGTACTTCGCAGTACACACATCCCTTCCCTCGTATTACTTAGGTTAATTTACGCGGCTTTGAACACTAAGTAGAGCCAAGTACACGAAGCTCACTAAGTAGAGCCAGGTACACGAAGCTCACTAAGTAGAGCCAGGTACACGAAGCTCACTAAGTAGAGCCAGGTACACGAAGCCCACTAAGTAGAGCCAGGTACACGAAGCTCACTAAGTAGAGCCAGGAACACGAGGCTCACTAAGTAGAGCCAGGTAAACAAAGCTCACTAAGTAGAGCCAGGTACACGAAGCGCACGAGTCATCAACATTGCACACCAAATACTATTTTTCACGTCTTTACACGTGGCAAACTTCCTGGCAACTACAAAAAGTTGCCAACAAGCAACTACAATAGACCATAAAATCATCAAATTAACAAAAATCAACAAGAACAGGTTAATTGTGAAGAACATGAGGGTCCAAATGCCATGTTTTGTTCGACTAAGAACTACTCTAGGTTAATTTGACAAAGAACGACTCGAAATATTATTAGTGCTCCGAACTGTCATGCGGACTGCCTTGTGTGTGTGTGCTTAGTTTTATACAAGAGACCTGGCACACGAACAACGGGCGTTGCTGTGAGAGTAAATAAACGTTACTGTGGCATGCTAGTGGACGTGGGCACAGTCACTGTTCTTTCACTGTCAGAAGAAGGCCCTTCAGTTCTGCTCTCATCACTATAACTTGAAACGACACCATCATTAATGACACCACCAGCAGCGGTGGTACTGCCCGTCACCGCAATTGCTGTGTTGGTGTCGTCAAGAGCTCCAACGTTGTTGCTACCAGCGTCATTATTGTTATGATGACTTGCGTCCAGGGCTGAAGAAACAGTGCTGTTATCGACGTTATGGTTGCCTTCAACGTGCGTAATTACGTGATTAGCGTGCGTGGTGATAACGTCTGCCGGCAAAGACACAGCATTGTCAGAGTAGTTCACAGGGCACGGATCTGACGCAGACGCAACAACTGGTGAACTAACATCAGCAGGTTCGCTGTTTGTCGCGCCATTGGAATTAGGAATGTTGGTATTATTGTTGTTGTTATTATTATTATTATTAGTAGGTTGTTCCACAGCAGTAGTTATAGAACTTCCATAGAAGGCAGCAGGCGGCCCGGAAGAGGCATCCATATTTTCCTCAGCGGTTGACGGGCTGGCAGAGTTGTTTGTGGCCGCGCTTGTGGCTGCATATCCCGACGAAGAAACCGCCACAGGAGCTGCGGGGGACGCTACAGGATGTGTAGGTGGAAGAGACACTGGAGTTGGGCCAGCAGAGGCGTAAGGTTGCGTGATAGCCGTCGAGGTGGAGAAAGGCTGGGAGAGAACAGAAGACGCAGAGGCGTATGGTGATTGCGAGGCGTAGGGTGACGACGAGGCTGTGGAAGCTGGTAGGGTCGAGGGGTCGGCGGGAGCGCTGTCTCGCCGTGGGGGTGACAACATCTCCTGACGGTCCCTGTCACGCTCACGACCAGGTCTGTGAACACGATTCAGTAAAGTTACATACAGTAAAGTCCCATACAGTACAGTTACTCTGAGATAAGTTCCGAATGTGAAAATACTGCAAGTTATAATGTCTGAAGTCGTGTGCTATTCTTAGGACAATAGTCAAACCTGAGGTACTTTATGCTTAACTAATAACTCGTTTATGAATAAGCGAGTGTTCTATTGTGATATTTTATCTGAAATTGGGCTTTGGTATTAACTTTGACAGGAGCTACCTTTTAGGAGCAGGATACGTTTATCTATTAAATGCACTGGTGTACACTCAACCATCAATGTCTTAAGCACTAAGAGAAGCAACATCTAAATCTGTACACTACAAATTCAATCCCTACATAACTAAGTGAAAGCAATGACAATAATTCTCATGATTAGACTTCGTGTGCATTTGCCTTTCATTATGCTTGCGTTTATTTGTTATTAAGCCTTTAAGGGTAGAATAATTATTTCTATTTGCCCAGTTGAATAAGTTGACTTACGCCCCGTAAGCTGATAGCTCCAGAACGCCATCCAACAACTTCTAAATAACCTCGTATTGATCAACAAACTGCATGATGACATCGCTTCAAAATAGACAACCCATGTGATATTGAAGATTCTAAGCCTCAATCAGAACTGTTTAACAGAAAACTTTTAAAAAGCATAACCTACACAACCCTATGTCTTTTGAATTTATATGTAAGAGACTTGTCCTTTAGAACATAAGCTGCAAAAAGTTTCCAATTAACCACATTGCAGCTTACAATAAAATAACAATAATCAAGTATGGCGCACCGGTATGCCTCGAGAAGCGCATCGATGCGGTCCTGCGTGGGCGCCCAGCGCGAGTTGCCGGCGTCGTTCTGGAGCCAGACGGCGACGGTGCCGTGGGTACTCTTCAGCACCACCTCCGACCTGGACCAGGGGCATGAATTGCGGTCATTGCTATGGCGTCCTCGACATCGTGATGCAGGCATGAACTTGCATGCACGACTACTCAAAAGTGAGTGCATAGACATCAAGAAATTTGCAGAAGTCTAAACATTGTCACCGTTGAGACAAATTAGAGGGAGGTACATATGAAAACAGAGTTGAACTTGGGGGAACAAATGCCGCGCGTTCAGTGTGTGCATTAGATGACAACTTTTGAACGTGAAACTTCAACATGAGGATAACAACTCACAATGAATTTTGTGAGGAGAGAAACTCTAGTAAAACTACTCCCTATTGATTTGCAGATGATCATGTTTCAAATTTGACTCACTTGGTCATCATGTACTGGAAGCCGTGCCTGTACTCGTGCTCAGCAGGCAGCAACACAATCTGCTTCCTGTTGAACCTGCACAGCAACACAAGCAGTGAGTTAAGCGGCTAACACGAGACAAATTAGAACTTCAGTTTGTAGCTCTGATGTACTTAGTAAACTTTGTACTTAAACACTTCAACGAACAAAAAAGTCGAGGACACAGCACTTCCTTTGATATTTGATTCAAAATAAACCATAAGTTTCATACGACTAAATGACATCAGGGCTGCAACATCTCTGTATTTACAGTAATCCCATTGATGGCAGATATCTAAGACTAATTAGAGGGATGAACCGGAATGTTCAAACAAGAATGGATGAGATTTTACAGTTCAGGGTTCAACATCAGCAAACAATACCAGAGGCCTACAAGAGAGCTATGGAGGAGGGTAGCTGATAGGCGAAGACTTTCAATTAACACTAACTGGTGCACATACACCAGGAAAGACAACTCAGATGCTGCTGGCGCTCGAATTACTCAACGTGCTACAAGAAGAGCTGTAGCCCAAGTACCTGGGCCTATACTTTCAAAAAAGGTGAGAGATCTAAGTTCATCATTGACGGCCTTTCAAGCAAAATCCACCAATGATAGACAAGAAAACTGAGCGTAAGTATTTAAGTTCACTTAGCGAGTTTTGAAAGTATGGCCCCAGGATAAGTATAAAGTCTACAACCAACTTGGAGGCTTCGAGATGAAGGAGGGCAGAAGGCGCAGGCTCGCGCAGCTCCGGCATGAAGACGATGAAGGAGAGCGGCTCGTGGCTCTCACTGAGGAGCTTCTCCATGTGCCTCACCGTCGCCTCCATGAGCTCCTCGCACAGGGGCGGGTTTGCCTCGAACGACCCGCACACGGGTTTGAAGTCCAATATGGGTCTGTGGTCACGGGGACAATATTACATGGAGGGACAGAAGTCCAATATGGGTCTGTGGTCACGGGGACAATATTACATGGAGGGACAGAAGTCCAATATGGGTCTGTGGTTACGGGGACAATATTACATGGAGGGACAGAAGTCCAATATGGGTCTGTGGTCACGGGGACAATATTACATGGAGGGACAGAAGTCCAGCACGGGTCTGTGGTCATGGGGACAATATTACATGGAGGGACAGAAGTCCAGCTGTTTATAATTCATTTATTTGAGCATTTTTTTTTTTTTGTTTAACGTTAGATCAGATGAAGCAACAAAAATAGAGCATAGGAGGCAAAGATAGGGAGGCAAGGAATTAATCAAAGATATTTACGCTAGACAAAATAAATTGAATCGTAGGGGGGTGACGTTCAAACGGGTGACGATAGTTGACGATGAAGCGATCAATTAACTGTCATATCAAACAACATAAATCACCATTCCAAAGCTGTTGATCAGGACAACAGCTGCCAACACAGACCACAGCTGCCAACACAAACCACAGCTGCCAACACAGACCACAGCTGCCAACACAGACCACTGCTGCCAACACAGACCACACCTACCGACACAGACCACACCTACCGACACAGACCACAGCTTTCAACACAGACCACAGCTGCCAACACAGACCACAGCTGCCAACACAGACCACAGCTACCGACACAGACCACAGCTATCAACTGAGAAACCCTTGTTGCCCCAGACATTGGCTGTGTAGACCCTGAAGCACAGAGATCAGCAATAGACAGCGGGGTAACTGACCCTCTAGAACCGAAGTAGGAGTCGGTGTCGGGGAATGCCGAGCAGTACTGCCTGAAGTAGCAGTTAAGAGGCGACGCGAAGCACTCGAAGGTCACGCCGAAATGCTTATTGAGGCACTCCATCACCGTCACAGGAAGCCCTGCTTGCGTTCCATGACCCTGAGCACAAAAAAAAATTTCTTGTATCGATCAACTAACTTAATCATATCAAACATTACCTAGTGGTGCCAGCTATGATTAGGCTCATAGCCAATTCTCAACTACCCGTAAGACCTTTAGATCACCCAATTAACAAGTGCCTAGGGACACCAACCCAAAGCCATGCTGCAAGCACCACGTCTGACAGCTACCAAGCGCCGCCCACCAACGACACTGAGAAATGAACTGAGCTTTTCAAGTCTCATATTCGTTTAGTTGCTGCTATCACTGCACAAACCGTGGCGCGTACGGCCATTTTGCCGACTTCGACCACACTTGTCACAATTAGGTGTAGTTTTCAAACCCCCCAAAGTGTCGCTCCAATCCTAATGATATTAACCGCTAGTCACGCCAATATAATTTGATGTACATACATTCAATTTTTTCAACTTCGTAAAAAAATAAACGTCGTGTCATGTGATGTTTAGTGGTATAATGAAAACTAATGTTGAAGACACTTGTATAGTAATAAGAAAACAACATTATAAAATTAAATTTGCTAATATCATATTTAGGACAAGAGATTTTTGACTTCAATCCTGTGCTTCATATATAGCGCCTGGCAATCCCCCCCCCCCCCAAAAAAAAAAAAACATTCATGAAGATCCTAACATTCAATCTCCAATTTACTGTATTGCTTAAAAGTTGTAGAGGTGCTCAGGATATCTCACCTCCTGAGGATTGGTGCCCAGGAATGTTTGGTATCGTTTGAGGAGACACCAAACTCTCGGGATAAATAACTCAAACTTTCGGTCGTCAAAGCAGTTGTAGCGGTAAAGATGTTCCTGCAAAAATACTTTATTTAATTAAAATAAACCAAGTAAATATTGGCTGCAAGCCCATTAAAGAAAAGACAATCAAGTACTGATTAACTATTGACGGAAATTAGCTAAAACTAAACAAAAACACTGACAATGAAAAATAAATAAACCCGGAATGTATATAAGAAGGAGCAATTGAAGAGTTAATATTGTAATGAAAGTCCAGGGATAAATTGCCGCCAATTTTTGTAGGGTATAAAGAACATGAACTTCATCACTAAATTGTTAAATATCTATCGTTGCATCATCTATGACTGGCGAAAATAAATTGTGAATTATATACCAAAGATGCTTGACAGTAATATGAAAAAGTTATTCTAACGAAGCAGAACACAATTCTGGTACATGAGGGCATCGCACCACAAATATCTATCAAGGAGCAGCACAGAGATGGCATTGTGTCAGACACAACGAAGTTAACACTCCATCAAACACAACAATGTTGGCACTCCAACAGCCAAAAGCTAACACTCCATCAGACACATTGCAGCTGGCACTCCATCAGACACATCACTTCATCAACCAAATCATGTGCCTGATGAGCACAAAATGAAACAAGGGAAGTAGTTAAATCCTCGTAGCAAGGATGGACTGACCAGCTTCTGGAAGTACATGGTGTTGATTCTGAGGGCTTCGCCATTGAAGCGCAGGCAGGTCGTGTCTTTGTCTTGCAGGAACTCGATGTTGGGCGGCCGTGGACTGGGGGTTGTGAACTGCACCGGGTAGCACCAAACCTTACGTAGTCCATTCACCGCCGGCACACCAACTTCTGCCAATGTCAACAAAAGTTACAAACATAGCAGCAGACTCAAGATCTTAACAAGCAACATACACAAAAATTCAGTCACCTAACCTGTAAATTCATGAGATGTACAGCGTAATTTGATGTCGTTTTTTTTAAAGTAAAATGTCTATATGCCAAACTGTTGAGCCAAATTTATCATGACCAACACTATTAATACATAAAAAATATTTCAAGAATGATCGCTAAGAACCTTAATAATACACACTCGTTCATTTTAATAAATTCTCGAAAAAAAATTTGGTGCATCGCCAATATTGGTCATATATAAAAAAGCCACAATACTACCCTATCCTAGATACTATTCATTTATGCACACAAATTGCCTATTCTGTAACAAGCTATAGCACCATATATATACTTATTACCAAATAGTATACCATGGTACCATATATATATACTTATTGATCATCTGATAATGCAAATTCATCAGTAATGCTGCCTGACCTCTGATGTTGTTTTCCTCCAGGATTTGCAGGTGCTTCTCCCTGATTTTCTTGGCGTACTCGACGGATAGATTATAAATTTTTGTACAGATGCCCTCCACATTCTGCTTCGACGCCTCCATGAGATGAGGCTGGCACTGCCGCTAAGGAAGGCAAAGTGCACAACAACTTTACTATTATTGCGGCAACAAGAACTAAATGTAGGAATAAAGCTAATGACCTAATTTAAAAATCGAGACGGCATACCGGTATCAATTGATTTCTTAAAAAATATGCCGACTCGAAACACAGTTTATTCGAGATGTCATGAGCCACATAAAATAACATGACGCTACTGCGCGAGACTAATTTTTACTCCAGAACATTACTATTCATCATATAGAGAGGTGCATTGGACAAAATTTGACTGCAATGAATCAGTCAACAAAATTTGTAAATAAAGCTTCATGAGAAACTGGCTTACAGCAAAATACCAAATAAGCGAGCAGAGCAGTGATACTTTAGATTTGGGATGGTTATTCAAGCATTAAATATAACATGGGGTAGTTAATTGCAGCAAATAGCCAACTGCTATACCACTTTAAAAGAATTGGAACTCAGTACTCACTGCAGTGAGTGACAGAGAGCTCATTTTCTTGTCAACGAAAACGTGAAGTCACATACGGACAGACGGACGGACGGACATGGCGAGCACAATAGTGCATTTTTCCATAAATGAGAAAATGCACTGAAACGCACTTGATCAGATTCAATAGAAGGCAGGACTTAAGTTACCTTAAGGTGGGCCAGACGCTCCATGTAGTCATCAAAGGTGGCACCAACAGTACGGCGGAGCCACTGGAACGTGTCCTCGACGTTCCACTTGACGATCTTGCGGCTCTCCTGTGACGCCGTCCGGCTCGTCTCTATCATGCGCTTGGCGGCCTCCGCGTACTTGGACAATTGTTTTCTGGCTTCACCTGGACAAGGAATTAGAAAATTATTTCTTGAACAAAATTTGAAAAGGAAATTTGATTTGAAAATTGCCATAAATAGATTAGAAATAAAAAATCAATAACTTGATAAATAAAAAATTTTATGTTTTATTTTGGAACAAAGTTCAATCAAGATTGAAAAAAAAATTGGAAAAAGTGAGAAAAGAGTGAAACTGTTCAGATCCTGGATCCGTTTCTAACATTTTTGAATTGCTCAAGATGTACTTGTGCCTTTGAACTAGCGTTAATGTAAGCAAAAAGTATTTAAACAATGGGAACTATTATATTAAACAATAGGAGATATTAGCGGTAAGTTGTAGGCACCTGTGAACTTGGGTCTGTTGAGTTTGATGGGGATGTCATTCATGATGCCCTTGTACATGGAGAGTGACACCTCAGGGAAACACTGGCTGGGCAGGAAAGGATCGCAGCCCTGGTCCACCACCTTGCGCTCCATGATCCACCGGTTGAATGAGTCCCGCGGGGCGTCAATTCCTGCAGAGTCACGGCTTTTTGTATCACATTCATGGCATTCATTACATTATCTTTTATCAGAGACAAGAGCAGTGAGTGACATGAAAAATAGGTGATATAAGCAGTGAGTGATCATAATCAATGCACTAAAGTGAGGATAAAATATTGAAGTCTCGTCACAACAAAGCTGACTGCTGCTCCATACTTTGCAGCCTGACATGGACATATGGAAGTAGTCATCAAAATATTTCAATGATTACCGTTAACTGGGGTAACTTAGACCACTTTTTTTTTAAATGATGCCATTTTTTTACTAGATAAGTTAAACTTAAATTGAAACATGCAAAATACAGGTCTATACTCTAGCTTCACTCTCCCCCATTTGCAAACTATGAGACTTTCCTAAAATTTGTTTGTTGCATATGTAACTAGAAGAGTTGTACTACAATGCATCAAAACCTGGAGTTATTTTGCCAAAAAATAAAAAAATGGAGGGGGTACTCCAACAGGCTTTAAATAATAGCTCTTTTTCGTGGGTCACATTTTTTAACCTATTAGATATGCAAACTTTTTAAATCTTTCTATTGTGTTACGTAGCCTCAGTATTAGGCCTTTAATGCCCATTGACAGAATTTTTCTATGTCAAATAGTTTTTGAGTTTTGGGGGTTTTTGTTAAAAAAACAAAAAGTGGTCTAAGTTACCCCGGGAGTCTAAGTTACCCCAGTTTACGGTACTTGTGAAAACCATGAAAATTATATCCAACCAAAATTTTTTTTCATAATTCAGAACAATAATGGTAGAGCAGACATTATGGAAACCATAATATTACAAAAAATAACATGTTTGCAGCAATTTGAGCCATGGTATTCCAAAATAAATAAAAAATACATAGTTTGCAGCAAAAATAACAAGTTTGCATCAGTTTGAGGCGTGTTAAAGTCAGACCTTCTCTGGCAAAGCACATCTCCTGGTAGCACATGCGCAGCTTGTGTACCAGAGAGCCCCGCAGCACCTCGACGCTGGGGTGGGGCTGGGGCAGTGTGATGGGCGGCCGCTCAAACATGATCACGTTGGTACTCGGCTCCAGGTCCCATGGCCCCCTACGAGGGATGCATTATGTTACGCTCACAAAAATATATATTGTCAAAATTACCATACCACTCACTTTCTTAGCCATGTCACAATATTTGATGCCTAGAAATTTATTTGGCATAGATTTAATCCTTTTAATTTTGATATCGTTTACTAATGCATTATCACACGCAATTATAAACATGGAAATTTTTAACAACAAAAAACTCTGGACATACGCGAGTATGAATTTCTTGGCGGGCGTGGCTCCTTGCGCGTCTTCTGACGCCCGTCTCTTAGTGGCGCCCCCTGAGGGCGGGGTGTTGGGGTGGTGGGGAGGGTACTGGTGAGGGGGCATGTGGTGGCCACCACCACCAGGTGGTGTTGATGGTGTTGCTGAGGTGCCATTACTGCTCACTGCAGACTCGCTTGCTACTCCCTCATAAGGATTATTTGCAGGACTACAATTAGAGGAGGTATTGTTCCCTGATGTCTGGAAAAAATATGCATAGACGTTAGTTAAATGTAACGTGAGTTTTCAATATTATTGTGACATTGCTCATTAATTTTCAAGGGCTGCCTCAAAAAAATATGTACCAAGGCTAAAAGAAGGCTAAAAAAGGAAAGCTTTGACATTTATAAAGGAGCCTAAATTCTTTACTGAGCACCAAACATGCAGGAAAACTTGCAAGGAAACTCAACGAATTTTAATTAAGATTTCATATATTTATTGACTAAATGTTTAAATAAATTGACAGTGTGCATGAAAGACCAAAAATCTGCCCTTAATCTTAAAATTATAGGCTGATCAATATTGTGATGTCATTTCCTGAATTGATGGAAGTTCATGCAATACACATTAAAAATAAATTACTGTACCATACAAAATAAATAATAAAGAAAGTGTCAATGAGTACACGCACTGAGGCTGAATTGTTATTGTGAGGATGTGGGTACTGGCCCACGTGATGGGGAGTGTGGGGCGCCTGTTGCTGCATTGACTGTGCATGATGGGGATGACCAGAAGCCCCAGGCTGCTGAGGATGAAGTACAGGAGCTCCCGAAGTTCCGGCAGCAGCGCCAGGAGCCGAGGCGAGAGGAGGTGGCATGTCCCACAAACTTTCCCCCGTTGTTTTGTTCCAGAAATAAAATCTGTGTTCACGCTTGCTCCAGAATTTCCTCCAGCCAGCGGAGAGCATTTCAGGAGGCAGGTCAGTTTCAGGGGACATGTTTGCCTGGGGGGATAGTAGCGATGGTGGTACTGCAGTGGGCGTTTGTGGTGCTGGACTGTGGAGGCCGCTGCTGCTGGCACCAGCCTGGAATGATGGTTTGGTGTCAAAAACATCAAGGATGTGACTGATTTGTTGAAGATTTATCACATTATTGATGATAAATAAAATTCATTTAAGAAGTATGCAAATTGTCAACTATGATAATTTAGGTTAAGCAGCATCTTAGAAGCAACATGATAAAAAATGTACTATGAAAACATAATCTTAATGGTGGAGGGAGAGAGGTATTATTAAATTAATATAGATGTTTTGTAATGGAGGCCGGAATAAAGCAGAAGAATTATGTATTCATTCACATAAATTTTCACTAAAGCAATGTGAAATCATGCTGGTCATATCCAAGTAACTATCACTGAATGATATAAGATGTGTAGCATACCAGCTGAACAGCTGGTCAGGATATAAAATGACTAAAAAAGGCACAAGCATCTCGTGTAATCAACATTAGAAAAAAGTTGCTCACTCACTGATTCAAAAGGCCTCACAAGCAGGGGTGTGTGAGCCTCATACTTGAAGGCCCTTGCATGCTAAACACTAGCTTAACCCTTTTTTCACAGATATATTTACTGTTGTCAATGCTATTTGTACCTAGTGGTTAGGGACCAAGAAGTCCCGCCAGTCACAAAAGGGTAATTAACTACTCAAGACAATGATAATGTCAAGGACTCACCGAGATGTATGTGTTGAGCTTCAAGTTGGTAGGGCCAGGCTGCAGCTGCTGCTGGCCGGCCCCTGCAGTAGCTGCATTTGTGCCAGCCATGAAATTAGCGGAGTGTAGGGTGGTGAGCTGCACAGCATCCTGTGCCGCACTTGTAGCAGCTACAGGACCTGCTCCTGAATAGTGAGATGGAGGATATAAGGTTGTGAGCTGCGTGCTGCCAGAGCCATGTTCAGAGGGTGGTGTGGTGGCAGCTGTCACAGGGCAAAGAGTGACAGGAGAGGCTGTCAGGTATGAAGGGGGAGGCATGAGCCCTCCATTGCCCCGGCTCGTTGATGAGTTACTGAGCTGGGTCATATTTGGGTCCACAACTCCACCATGCTGCTGGGACAGTCCTGGGTCAACAACAGCACTGCTTGCATGGGTCATGGGTGAGCTGCCACCGCTCCCTCCAATGTTCAGTAGAGTACTGTTGCTGGCTGATGCAGCATGAGAAGAGGAACTCCCCACTGATGGTATGGGGTTGGATGATGCTATCAGTGCATCCCATGGTGATGCCATCTGAAATAATTAGTCTGTACATACAGAAGAACAAATGGTAAGCAACAATACCTAGCATCCAAATGCAATTCTAGAGTGATGTTAAATTAACCAGAACACATAATATATTAGATACAACCAATAACAGTCTGGAGAGGATGACATCACAACCCCACAACCAATCACAGACTGGAGAGGATGATATCACAATCTCACCAACCAATCACTGTCTGGAGAGGATGACATCCCAATCTCACCAACCAATCACAGCATGGCGTGGATGACAACACAACCAATTACAGTCTGGACATGCATCCACCCAAAAATGACAAGTTTTATACACTATCCCAAAATTCCAGACTGCATAGAATTGACATTTATTTCCCCATGTGATTCATGGATAACTTGATGTCAAAAATCAATATGAATGTTGACAGTGAGAGGTTTGGATCAAAGTGTGTCAAGTACAGCAATCCCTTGATTAGCACGGTTTTGATTAATGCGGAAAAAAAATTTGCGACCTACCCTTAATCTACGCGGTGCCAGTTTTGCTTAGCGCGACTTTTTTTTCACAACGCATCATTTTCCCACCTCTATCCAGAGGTGTTACGTTCGTAACAAAAGTGTTACTTTTTGCTTATTAGATCTTATGTTGTTACTTTTGTTATGACTTTTGGAAAAATTCGCCAAATGTTGTTACTTTATGAATTTCAGCCAATAATTCTTTAAATAAGGTCCCGTTCCGTAGGCACTGGTGCTGACTACAGAGTCGGTTTAACTGCGCCTTGTCTCGTTCATAACTCGAATGATCGAGTTTGGCAACGTTCGCCGGTAAGTGCGCCATGCCGGTGCTCTAGCCCTTTAAGCCCTGGTGTGACGAATTTGTCACACAGAAAATAAAAGCTTCTACCGAGAGTAATTACATGTTTGGAGTCTAGCCGCGAGTGTGACGGTAGCGTCACATGTTGTGAACTCGTTCGAACGACGTTCGATGGAGTAGGCGCGTCGCTACTACCAGTTTAACACAAAGACTGCGCTTGATCTGAAAAGTAATTCAGATTGTTTTTTCACTTTCGAAACATAATTCAGTGCGTAAAGGGCTAGTTACTCGTTAGCCTTCTACTGGTCAAGATCGCTGCCATATCTACTGCTCACTTTTATCAAACTACATAATTTTCCTTTCCTTTGCTATTTTTGAGGATTCATTATAATTATTCCCATATATTCTTAAGTTTGATTAGCGCGGTTTTGCTTAACACGGTAAAACTCGGGGATTTATTAACCGCGTTAATCAAGGGATTGCTGTAATGACAGGCCTGGATTAAGTGCCAAGTGAATTTTAAGATGCAAAATTGAATATCTAGACAAGAATATTCAATAAATTGCACTGTGTGAGCCTTCCACATCTGACTGGATTTGAAGAATAAAATGGAAATTAAAATTCTCATTGGAATTAAAAAAATCAATCTATGGTCTAACTTCAGGAAACAAATATCTATTAACATAATACACATAAATTACAGGTTAAATAAATGTAAACCAAATCCTCTCAATTGAGCATTAAAATTAACCATTTCTAACAAGCCATACCAAGTTTTTTGCCATTTTACAGGCCAGACTATAAAAGATTATAACATCTTTTACTTTCCTCTTAGCTTAAGAAATAAGAGCAACTTTCAGAACTCCTGAGAGGCATTTTATTTGGCCTTAAAACATCAGTCTCAGATATTAGATTGAGTTTTCACTTCCTGTTGCAACAAACAGATGATTTTTTCTCCACTTGTATTATTTTTAATTTCAAATGGGGTAGCAATAATAAATCAACACTCAGCCAGGTTTCTGATTCAATGTATGATGAACATATCTACTTTCCAAGCCACAACTGATGTTTTTACACTAGTTTTGGATTGGCTTTGGTAAAAAACCTACGGTTCAGTTGACAATAAATCCTTGCTATTCTTAAAAGGAAAAAAACACAATGGCAGACAAACTTGTATTCCTGTAACCACCTCTGAGGGACCACAGTACCAGAAACTGCATTAAGCTTGGAGTGGGGAGTTCAAAATTGCCAAATTAGCTGAATGCCTAAATGCCTAATGTGCATAGCAAGCTGCTAGCAGGAAACCAAAACTAACAATTGAAATTGCATCAGCTGAATTCCAAAATGCTGAATGCATGAAGCAGCCAGCAAACTATTGTACCATAAAATGGGGTAACTTAGACCGGTGGGGTAACTTAGACCACTTTTCATTTTTTTAACAAAAACCCCCAAAACTCAAAAACTATTTCACATAGAAAAATTTTGTCAAGGGGCATTAAAGGCCTAATGCTGAGGCTACATAACACAATAGAAAGATTTAAAAAGCTTGCATATCTAATAGGTTGAAAAATTAAAAATGTGACCCACGAAAAAAAGCTATTATTTAAAGCCTGTCAGATTACCCCCTCCAATTTGTCAGGGCTGCCATTAGGTAGTCACATTTCCCCCATTATGGGGTGGCGCCCCCCATTTGCAAACTAATGACACTTTCCTCGAGTTTGTCATTTGCATATGTAACTAGAAGAGTTCTACTACAATGCACCAAAACCTGGAGTTATTTTACCAAAAAATATAATTGATTTTACCACCTGGTCTAAGATACCCCAAGAGCTGGGGTAACAAAGACCATCACTTTTTTTGAAATTGCATAAAGACTATGAGAGGCAGGAGCCAGCAATTTATGGTGAGTGAAGCTAGAGTATAGACCTGTATTTTGCATGTTTCAATTCAAGTTTAATTTAGCTAGTAAAAAAATGGCATCATTTATAAAAAAAGTGGTCTAAGTTACCCCATTTTACTGTACTGGGAGTGCCACCTGTGCCATTCATGCTTGAGAAACAAATATTAGGTTGTACAGCAATCCCTTGATTAGCACGGTTTTGAATACCGCGGTTTTGAATACCGCGGTTTTGATTAACACGGAAAAAAAATTTGCGACCTACCCTTAATCTACGCGGTGCCAGTTTTGATTAGCGCGACTTTTTTTTCACAACGCATCATTTTCCCGCCTCTAGCCAGAGGTGTTACGTTCGTAACAAAAGTGTTACTTTTTGCTTATTAGATCTTATGTTGTTACTTTTGTTACGACTTTTGGAAAAATTCGCCAACTGTTGTTACTTTATGAATTTCAGTCAATAATTCTTTAAATAAGGTCCCGTTCCATAGGCACTCGTGCTGAAGAGTCGGTTTAACCGCGCCTTGTCTCGTTCATAACTCGAATGATCGAGTTCGGCAATGTTTGCCGGTAAGTGCGCCATGCCGGTGCTCTAGCCCTTTAAGCCCTGGTGCGACGAATTCGTCACACAGAAAATAAAAGCTTCTACCGAGAGTAATTACATGTTTGGAGTCTAACCGCGAGTGTGACGGTAGCGTCACATGTTGTGAACTCGTTCGAACGACGTTCGATGGAGTAGGCGCGCCGCTACTGCCAGTACAACACAAAGACTGCACGTGATCTGAAAAGTAATTCAGTTTTTTTCACTTTTGAAACATAATTCAGTGCGTAAAGGGCTAGTTACTCGTTAGCCTTCAACGGTCAAGATTGCTGCCATATCTACTGCTCACTTATATCAAACTACATAATTTTCCTTTCCTTTGCTATTTTTGAGGATTCATTATAATTATTCCCATATATTCTTAAGTTTGATTAGCGCGGTTTTGCTTAACACGGTAAAACTCGGGGATTTATTAACCGCGTTAATCAAGGGATTGCTGTATTACACATTATTCAAGAAACAACTGTATAAAATGAATGATTCATAGATAATTGGCAACTTGCTTGTTTTGAAAAGGTTGTTGAACACTAGTAACATGGGCCTTGAAATGGTAATTTTTTAGTTCAGTGAAAGGAATAAAGCAAATTTCCAGAGAATTATTTGAATCGCTACTCATCTGCCCAAGCACATTACTGCACAAGTACAAAAATTTAGTGTGTCTGTTAGGGAAGTGAAATTTGACCCATGAGCTATTGTCCTATTGAACCATAAGATTTTATATACAAGTAAAATATCTGACTTTGAAAATAAAAGATTTAAGAAAATTTTCATCCAACAGCTTGTTTAATATAAATCCATATTTTTTAATTACAATTTTTTTTATCTTGCTAAAACCTATGTTAGGTATGAGCATCATTAAGGAAAATCAGGAGGAAGCCACCCATGAATGAGACAGAAGTGCCACGATTGCAGTAAATTTCACCTGTTTTTGTCACCCTTGCCCAACTTTTTTTCAATGTAAAACAAGAAAATAGCATAATTTTTAACATAATTAAAAAAAAAATGCTTGGAAGAGTGAATGTTTTTAACCCTCGATTTTTGGAAATTTTTGTGGGGTGCAAAAGTGTGCAAAAAAATTAAAAACATCGTCATTATGCAATTATTGAAGTTCGGAATGACAGAACAGCCAATTTCAATTTGAATGCACAATAAGCCGTTCATGTTTTATATTTTATTCTTAACTTGGGCTATTCATATATTCATATTTGATAAAAAATATAGAAATTAAAAATATGATCAATACCAAATAGTTTATTGATAATTTCAACATAAAATTACCATTACCATATATCAATTCAACTCAGTTCCCCAAAAGGGCCAAACTGTATATGGTTGCTCATTTGAGTCATTTCTAATTTACCGGATTGGAATTTTCCTACTTGTTTCTGAAATCTCGCGGCTCCAATGTGACAATTTTTAAATACATTTGGAATCTCGGGACCCAATCGTGCACTTTTGTTAACAATTAGAAAGAAGGTAATCCATCTGGCAGAAATCTCACGGTTTCAGAAATGGCAGGGAAAGCTCCTGTTGCAGTCCATGCTTGTTTCTAAATGCGCAAACTAGAAGATTCGTTTTTTCAAACAGGAATAAAAGATGGGAAATTAGCAATGAACTATGAAGCTACTGTAAATTTTGAAATTTGAATGATCAATTCTTAATCAAATTTCTGTATCTAATTTGAATATAAATTGTACTATTACAATTTACATTGATATTCTGATATTCATGTACTTTTATGTATTTTCTGCCTTCAAACTAAGAAAAGCCTATACGGTATACCACAAATAAAGAAAAATAAAATGTAGGGTAAACGCGGTATATTACGTCATTTTAAGAACACATCGAGAAATGAAAAACTATAAAAAAAATAACCGTATGCGTTACTCAAGTTCTGTTTGCTTTATGTGACTCTCAAAACACCTCACTACACGTCAGCAACAACGAAACGTCACAAAATGTTGCCATATTTATTTAAAAGCCTTTAGAATGCAAACCTACCAAATCCCTATATTCCGTCACTGTGTGTGGCTATATTCGGCACGTGGTGAGGCGTATTCCGTCCACGCTTCAAATTCTACTGATACATAATGCCGTCATCCACGTGTTCAAATTCCGTTCGCTGTGTGAGCTGTATTGGAATACAACATGGCTTTGAATTAGAACACTAATGAATATTGAACAGTGAACACTACTTAATTACGCTTTTAATTAAGCAAATTTTAATTTTTGTACACTGCTTGGAACGATCTGTGTGTGTCCAATTCAAGTTGTGATGGAATTAGTTTTCATGTGTCTAAATCCATTTCTCAACTTAATCATCTATTAATTTATTTACCACTTGAAATCAGCGAATACAAGTATACTTAAAGGATTCCTAATATATTCACAGACGTATTTAAAAGTCTCAAACCATAATATTCTTCCTATACATACAGTTATTCACTATTTGGTAGAGCAAGGTCAACTGTCAAATTTGACACATTTTTCGATGATCTCACTGGGTAGCGTGCATCATCTCTCTTTGGATCTCAATATTTTCCCGCTAGATGGCCAAGACCTAGTGTTTTGGCAGTAGCTTGACGCGCAAATGTATGATGTTACCTTTTCAACCATCAACAAACGCATGGAACTAAAACAAAGCTTAATATAAAGGAAAAACTAGAGAGGTGACGGAATTACCCACGATGTCGGAATGGAATGTACCGCGAACCGCGTTTACCCTATCTAAAATTTTCTACATACCTCATATAGGGTAAACGCGTTATATTCCGACACATTAAGGACGCATCGAGAAATTAAAAACTATAAAAAAACGTATGCGTTACGTAAGTTCTGTTGCCTTCACATGACTCTCAAAACACTTCACTACGCGTCAGCAACGATGAAACGGCACAAAATGTTGCCATATTTATTAAAAAGCCTTTAGAATGGAAACCTACTAAATCCCTATATTCCGTTACTTTGTGTGGCAATATTTGACACGTGGTGAGTCGTATTGCGTCATCGCTTCAAATTTAACTGATACGTATTGCCGACATCAGTATGGAATTCTGTATAGGTAATATATTCTCATGTCCATATATGAAAACGTATCGAAAAACCAACCCTACGGTTCCTACCAGCTACCACCGCGTTGGACCACCTTCCAC